CAAGACTAGGAGTGACAAAATTAGAAAATTTTGGTTGGCTTCACATGCATGCCTGTGGGGGATACGTTCTATTCTACTTGCTTCAGTTGAAGTATGTTGCTAAAGTAACTCATTAACAGAAGGGCAAAATTATTTCAAAATGAAACCAGTCAACCAGGACTCCTTTAGTACACTACGGAAAAATGTGTTTTTCTGATCAGCTTTCTGTCAATGTAAACATCAGGCGTCGAATAAACACACTTCTTCCGTTGCAATGCACATGGAATATTAACAATAAAATGCAACATGGAATATTAACAATAAAGATAGACCAACAAACCCTTCTCATAAATTTCTCTCACAAACGCGATATGTCAACTCGCACTTGGTCAGATGGACCCCTTGTTGGATAGACAGACCCGTGGGACTAACCACTTACAAACTACATTATGAGAAAAGATAATAAGAAGAATTGTGGTTGAGAAAACTAGCTAGCGTTTCTCTTGTATACTTAAACGCGAAAATGTAACACATGATATAAGCTGCTAATTTCTACTACTAGCATTTTATATGAACTGGGTTATCTCCTCTATAGAGAAAGAATCTGTCTGATATTTACAGGTGAAAACTGAGCTAGCATTTTTCTTCCCTTTCTAGTGCTTGATCACTAATCATCAATTGTTGTCAGAGGCATTCTGCCTATTCAGAACCACTTCTTCCTCATCCTTGCTATTAATTAGTATATATGACAAACTTGCCTAGAGGAGGCAATTGATGAAGATGAAACAAGACAGTATGAGACATTAATCACAATTAGCAGTATCTCTAGATTTGTACTGCTTAAAGACCACGCATGTACTAAAATGAAACTGTATAATGATGATCCTTGTAGCAGAAAGTTTCAAAAGAACTGCTGTGATGAGTAAAGCTAATAAACACTTCAAGTAAAATTTAGACAATGTCCAAATATATAATACATAATAATCATACGGTAAGTTTTATAGACTATGCTATGTTTTATGTATAGTTTCAGATGATTAGATGAACTGAATGGAGTAAAATTCTAATTTCTTTTCATTGATTTGGAGCCAAATGCAAGCACTTGTGGCATCCAATTATGAAGAAATCCAAAAGAAGATTTACATAGCTGGATAAGTCTCTTGTATGCATACCCCTCTATGTATTTTGAGAACACAAGATCAGTTACAAGAAAAGAAAATATTCATTACAAAACGGTAGGTGTTTAGCATGTGATAATCATTTGTGTGTCTCATGAATTTCAACTATCTTATTAGATTTGTAAGTAGAAAAAACATGTGGGTTTCTTTCTTTTGATTAATTAAATTAGTACAATGCACTACTAGCAAGCACAAATTTGTTGAGCAACACAATGGCACATGCTGGTATGATGATTTTGTTGTAAAGTAGAGCCAAACTACTTTGGATAATAAGGTCTACAGGCTAAATTAGAAGACAAATGTAGCTCAACTACGTCTATCGAAGAAAGAAGCGTGGTGTGGCGTTTGGTTGCAAGAGAAGTGCACAGACGGCAATTTTGAAGTCAAAAGTGTATGATGAAAAGCACATTGTTTAGTGTAATATTTTGATCAAGTTCTGAAAAGACTATGAGTAGAATGTATTTGATGAAGCTTTACTTTATTGATCATGATGGAATTCATAGCCCAGATAAAATGAAAAAGAAAATACAAAGAAATGAGTTCCCCTAAATGAAGAGACACTCTGAAATGTAATGTCTTAATAAATTTAGGTGATAGATTTTAAGATGATTTGCTGTTAAACAAGCTTGGATGAACCCAAAAGCATTTCAAACACAACTTCTAACACGTTCCGAGTACAGTCAGGGTCCAAACCTACTACAAACACAACTTCTAACACGCTTGGCAACTATGCTCCAATACAACTTGTAACACACTCAGAGAGTACGTCAGGTCGTCAACCACACCCACTACAAATACAACTTCCAACACGCTCGGCGTTGCACGATCACCTCCAAACTCTGCAAATACAACTCTGACACGCTCGCAACCGTGCTCCAAACCCACTACAAAGCACTACAAATACAACTCCTAACATGCCGACGAGCACAGTCAAGGCTCAATCTTATTATTAGTGTTAAACGGTTTGGATAGAACTCACCCCTAAAAGCAAGTTCAAAGAAGAGAAAGTCTAATCATATATATACATTATAACAGCCTACTAAATTGGCAATATAAGACAAATACAACTTCTTCACCTTGCTACACGATATGCATTGACAACTTTTTTCAAGCCATGATATAATTAGTCACCCTTAGTTGGCGAGAATATGAAGAAGAAGGCTGAGAATGGACGAAGATTAATGGCCCATATAGTAGCCAGCTGAAGTAGATTTCACAATTTCAGCCCAGAAATTGCATAAAATTGGCCCATTCACGAGGAAATCCAATGAAATGATCAAATTTCTAGCCTGTTGCTGCGTCTCCTATTCTTTACATGTGTACTCCAAACAACAAACAAAAGGTATCATAATATAGATAAATTTTTTCTAATTTATCTGATCAATAACGAAAAATCTACCTTACCTAAGTCCAAAGTCCAATGCAAGTGAAGATGAAGAGAATAAAACTGAATATTCTTTGGCGTTTAACGTTACGCGCCCAACAATAACCAGAGGAGTATAGTAAGGACAAATGCATGATCCGGTGTCGTCAAGTCCATCTCACCAATCCAACTCACCCAATCATCACCTAAATATCACATCCGCTTTTCTAATATTAACTTCACTGATCAAATACAGACAAACGTGTACTTATTTTTGCCGGTTAATTTTCCTACTTCCCCCTGATTTAGTTACAATTATGAAATATCCATTATAATTTGCTTAATTATGGTGGACCTGTAAGATTTTGCTTGATTGTGTGACTTGTCTCTCTAAATTATTACTCAAGAGGTCACCGTTAAGTAGGAGTATATACGATTTTGTCTGAATATATATATATATTTTTTTTTTTTTTTAACTGAGGTGTCCAACTAGCTTACATACACCTTAACTAATCCCCAAGGTCTATTGACCCTCTACAAGCCCAAAAGGACTAGGTAAACCACGAGTCCATTTGTTTAATTATTTTTCCCTATTCTATTAATATTATTTCTAAAAAACACGTTTGTTTCCCTATTCTGAAAATACTATTGGTTTATTCAACTATTTTTAAACCCCCTAATTTTATATTTAACTAAACACCCACCCAAAAAAAGTTTAGAAATTGATAAAAAATACCCTCACACACCCACATTTGCCAATTTTGGCCACCACCACTAATCTGGTATAATAGTGCACTACCGATCCAGCCGGTAGTGCGCTAATCTTTATTTACAGCCATTCACCATGGATCTGGCCGGAAAAGGCCATCTCGGCGCACAACCGGCCAAATCCAACGATCGTGCACTGTAACATCAAATTCCGGCCGATTCCGACTGGTGGTTGGAATTTGGCAACTGTGGTGGTGGGGGTGTTTTTGTCATTTTACAAAAATTTTATATATTGGGTTTTTAGTTAATTATCACAACCTAGGGGTTTTTTAGTAATTTTAATTCTACCTCATAATAATCACCCAACTCTACCTACCAAAATATTTCAAAAATACTACTCAAAATAATAAAACAAACACACCCGTTGTGGTAAGTGACCTCAGGTTTGAACCCAAAACTTAATTGTTGATGCTTGATTTTGACACCAACTACCCGCACGTGGAAAATGCTGAGCTGACTTAGAAGACACGTGATGAATTCAAGAGATTTGAATATGATGCTGAAACGTAAATAAAAGATTTGCAAAAGGGGTTTTTATAGTGGTTCAATGCTTAAAAATCCTACATCCACTTGTTATTTTATTGTTCTCTGGCTATTTCTATGATATTGCCTGTAAGGCATACAAAGATAGAAACACTTTGTTTACAGAGAGAATATGAAGCTCAAATTTATGCCTAGCTCTCATATCCCCCGCCCCCCTTGTGTGAAGAAAGTGCCAATTTATACATCTTTAAGGTCAATGTAATGAGTGTTTTGTAAGTTGCCTTGACACATGGACTCTCATCCGTTCATCTCTTGAAATGATAGGGTTGGTATGAATATCTTTGAGGAGTTATGGCTTGTAGTAGTACAAAAAGACATTCATTGAGCTAACATAACGTGACTTTTTAGGCATAACAAAGCCCCCCAATTTTTGGAGTGCGTATCGCCTTCAAAAACTCAGGTCTTTGATCTAAATGGCTATGTGCACTAGGCTGAAGTCTCGAATTGAAGAGCTCAAACTTTCTTGGCGCGATCGAGTGCTGAGAGCTAGGACTGCGATCTGAGGCTTAGAGCGATCCGAAGCTGAGGCTGTTCGCAATATCAAGCTAAAAGTTGATCGTAATTTGAGAGCTAGAAGCTGACGCGATCTGAGAGCTAGAAGCTGATGCGTCTAAGAGGAGCTCGACCTAAGAGTTTGAGGCATGTGATCTGAACGATCTATGCACACAATCTCAAGTAACCGACCGAGCTTATGATCTAATCCGAGATCATAAGAGCTCAATCAGAGAGCATAACGAGCTCGATCAAGAGCATAACGACTCGATCAAGAGCAACGAGCTCGATCTGAGATCAACGAGCTCGATCAAGATCATAAAGCTCATCTGAATCATAACAGCTTGATCTAAACGTAACGAGCTCGATCTGAGCATAACGAGTCATCAGAGAGCATACTGACCGATCTGAGATCACAATGAGCTCAATCTGAGAGCATAAAAGCTCGATCTGAGAGCATAACGAGCTCGATCAGAAGCATAACGGCTCGATCAGAGTGCATAACGAGCTCAATCTGAGATCATAACGAGCTCGATCATAGAAGCATAACGAGCTCGTCTGAGATCTAACGACTCGATCTGAGAGCATAACAGCTCAATCTGGAGCATAACGAGCTCGATCAGATAGCATAACAAGCTCATCTGAACAAACAGCTCGATCTGAAGCAACAACTATTAAAAAGAAACTCACTAGTCAATCTCAACAGCTTTTTGAGTTCTTACCTCAAGCTATTCAAGAACAATTGATGCTTGAAAGAGATCCCCATGGAAATGTCCAGGTGTGTACTTTATATTGCTGTTCTTGTGTTTGACTTGCGCTAATGATTTTCCTGCTTTTGTTTTATCTTGTATCTCTTTCCTCTTTTAGGTTGCCAAGATAGAAACAGAAAAAATGTTGATTCAAATGGTTGAGACTGAGTTGGAGAAGAGGAAACAGGAAGGTGCATATAAAGGCCAATTTAAAGGGCAGTCCCACTTTTTCGGGTATTTAATATTCTTAACCTACAAGATCCTTTTGAGTCACAAGTTCTAATAATTAGTAGTGTTATACTGGAGCTTAAGTGTTATGGTAGATGAACTGAGCCAATGGAGAGTGCTTATGTTCATGTGAGTTTCAGTGTCTACATATTTGACAATGTTATACTCATAAGAAACTTTGTTTAAACTTTGGATTCCTTGCATTAGTTGTAAACTTCTGTGTATTTCATATATGCAGGTATGAAGGAAGATGTGGTTTGCCAACAAACTTTGATGCTTCCTACTGTTATGCATTGGGTTATGGTGCTGGAGCTCTCCTTCATAGCGGAAAAACTGGCTTGATATCATCAGTTAGTACTTTTAACCTCCTCTGCTTTAATCTACTGTGGTACTTGACGATTAATAACTTATTTAACTGTTTTGTTTGTAATTCTGGTGTTATATCCAGGTTGGAAATTTGAGTGCTCCAGTTGATCAATGGACTGTAGGTGGTACTGCTCTGACCGCATTAATGGATGTGGAGAGGAGACATGGTATGTGAAACTTTCCCTTCAACACCTCATTGTCACTCTTATCTTCAAGAAGCATATACTGTAAAGAATTCGCTGTACCTATAATCCCACTGTTTCAGCATTATAAACTTTTTCTTGAAATAAAATTGTTTCGAGGAGATATTATAGGGTGTTTCTGTTTTTGCAGGTATGTTCAAGCCTGTGATCAAGAAGGCCATGGTGGAACTTGATGGTAAGAATCATTAATGCGCACTTTTATCTTTTTTAGCTCATGAGCTCTAAATTAGTTCTTGCACCTCTGCATGAACTACTTCATCTCGAACAGCTAAAGTGACAGTTTATTCCTAAATGATTTTTCAGGTGCTCCATTTAAGAAATTTGCATCCCTGCGGGAGGAATGGGCTCTCAAAAATCGATACATTAGTCCTGGTTGGTCCTGACTTTAATATTTACTTTCAATCATTTTACCTCAGTTTATGGCTTTGTTGGCCAGTTAGAATCTGGACCTGCAGAATTAAGATTATACGATTCTCTTTTAGCCATCATTCATACGATACCTAACGCGTTTCATGGATTCTGTTTCCAGGTCCTATTCAATTTGTCGGTCCAACATCCACCGCCGTTAATCACACACTACTCTTGGAGCTTGGTGCCCAAGTTTAAGCATGCTATCAAATTCATCCTCAAGACGGAAGTTCATGTCTAAAGAAACCAATAACGAATTCTTGTGTTCTTGATCTCTGAGTTATTTTTGTTTATCTCGTTTTATGTAAGAATTTTTTCTTTACATTTTTGGGGCTTTTAGAAGAATGATGTTTGAGATAGTTAAGCATCGAGTGGTGAAACTTAAAAATTTATGCATATCTTGAGTTCAGTTTTTCACCTTGCATTGCTACAATCTTTTGCTATATCGTTGTTGCCATGAACACCAGTAGCCCATTATCCCGTGGGTAATGAGCTGGTCCGGGCTTCTTCTTAATAGCTGGCCTACACAAATTTTTTCAAAGCCCGGTAAAATTTGAGTTAATTACAAGATAAGACATAAGAAGCACCCATGAGAGGTTAGTCAAGATTGTGACACGCCTAATGGCTTAAGGCGTAACCTGCATTCAAAGATTTGATGGTTTAGGGGATTCTGTAATTCACACCAAGAATTGTATTTTGTTATGCTCTTCATCGATGCAAGAGCTGAAATATCCGTTGTCGATAATCGTTATAGATAATGAAAGAAGACCATGCATCCTACACGCACATGGTGTCCGAAGAGACGGGAGTGAATTATGTTATTAAGATTTTCTTGGAACAATTTGTGTTGGGGTTCGTTAATTCATAGGAGGGGTTTAGCTCTGAGGTTTGTTCTCAAGGTTTTGGATTTGAGTCTCCTCATGCATATCAAGTTTCAATCTCAGTATTGCAAAGCGAGGTTAGGAAATTAAAGGAAGAAAAAAACAAAAGAGAAAATAAAAAAGGTTTTATCTTTCTTGGTCTCCCCAAGCATATGCATTAAGAGACATCAAATTTGCTCTTGTTCATACTTTATGTACATGCCGATGGCATTTCACATCCAAACAAGGGAAACAAACATTCATTTATCTAGACAGAGATCATGACTTGTATCAAAATGAATAACCACATAAACGAAGATGTACTACCCTTTACGGGAATTTGATATTTTTGCTTCAATTGGGTTTGTTCTTTAACAAATTGACAAGTTTTGAACAACCAAATTGATATTTTTCAAATNGGAGAGAGAGAACAAACAGACCAGTCGTTCCAGGTTGAATCAGAGGCAACAGAGGATTAATTGAATCAAAATCAAATGAGATGAATTTACCTACTCCGTTAACCTTCGGTTTTCGTTGTTCAGTTGTAGTCAATAATTTATCTACCGTCACCCCGTAAACAATCCTACGTCATCAATTGCAGTTGTTGTTCCTTCAGCCCTAGTCCATTGTCTCCAATATCCTACGATTATTTTCCTCACTCATCGTCGATCATTTGTCCACCGTTATTTGCCGTCACCAACCTTCCCTCATCCTCTCTCCGAATATTCCTCATGATGTACACCAACAATGCCGCTTCTCTATTTTTTCCTTCACTCGTCGTAGACGGTTTTCCTAGAGTCAAAGTACTGTTAATAACGCCGACGTTCGTTCAGCCGTCCTCCACCATTGCCGCTACCCAACGATTCTCTCCCTCAAACGTTGTCTATCGTCTCCGTTTAGGGTTCGTTGTCACTTGTCATTCAGTGAAACTCACTCCGCCACTATCGCTGGTTTTAACTCGTCCTCTGTCAAGTTCATGCTAGAAGAAAGAGTTGGATTAATTCGAGGAAATCCACAGCCTCCACTACTCATTGATTGCAACTGTTTCGATACCTTTCTCATTAACATGAAAGACTTAAATACAACTGGAAATAACCACTGACCGGATTACAAGGACTCAACCCATAAAAATAGCATAAATACGACGCTGATATTCAGCTAACAACCCAACCTGAAGATCTATTCTTAAGCCAAAATACTTGCCATGAGCCAACGGATTAAGAACAAGTCTTAACCTGATGCCTATGTACAGTTATTGGACCCACATAATCAGACTAACTCAACTAGCCCCTGAACTCTACTAAATTAAATACAATCAATAACAACTGGGCCCATATGAATTAAATACAAGCAACCAACAACTGAACCCACGTGCACATGACATCCTCCACTGTCGTCGGTTTCCGTTTCACTGGTAGTCATCGATGGCTTCCCGTTGATTTGGTCGAACTCCTTCAAAGACAAAGAATGAAGATTGGAAGAGGCAACAAACGAAAAGCCAAAAGTCATCGTTTTCTCCTTTTTTTTACTGACAAAGTCAATTGTTAGGAACACGTGTCAAGATTTTTTAACAAACAGAAATCCTAATAGAATATGATGAAAAATATCTGTTTGTACGATAAATGTTGGATAGGTGTAAGTTGTTCGGCCTAATCTATTTTATAAAAAGATTCTAAAAATATGCTTTAATGACTTTTAGGATTAAAAACTGTCTTGGAAAGTCAATTACAAAAAGTGCCCTTCACATATACAATATAAATTTAAAGAAAAACTTGATTCGTCAAATAAGTAATTAATAATTTATTTATAAATTTAAAAATATATAAAATGGTAGGAAGTTGCCAGTCAACGCTTTGAATTTGATCAACAAAAATAAAGTTTACAAAAACCAATTTTAATAATAAAATTTAATAATTATTTTAGTCTTTTGACATGTGTTATATATCCTCACTTAAAAGTAAATCACTGACAATCCCAATTAGACTAGCCTTGGCGGCTTAGAAGCTTCAGTCGAATCTGAAGATTCAACAATCACTTAGCAGTTAGCAGCTTGCTGACCTGTCAAATGCTAACTTAATTAAGAGTAGACTAAAAAGTAAGTTGAATTGGCAAACTACCTTGAAAGTGAAAACACACAACTTATTCTCTCAAGTTACTTGGCAACGTCAAGCATGCTACCACGCTTTAGAATCAACAAGACACACACCATTAATAAATATTCAATCGAAAATTAATAAATATACAAACCTTTTATTAAATTCCAATACAACTCTCTTGCACTGGTGACATATCAGTCCCCTTTACCATTTCGAGCAACGTATATAGATCCCTCATACTGGGAGTCCAGGCTCACGATCATCATCCTTCTTGGAGGACTCGTCATTCATCGGAAGCTTCTTAAACCGTTTACAAAAATCAGCCTTAGAAATCCGCTTCTGAACCCTCTTAATCCACTTTTGAACCTTCTTATTCTGAACCTTCTTAATCCACTTCAAAACCTTCTTAATCCACTTGAAAAGGTCGAGGAAAGTTGCCTTAAATGCATCATGCATAGGGAACTGCGTGAGTGCAAATATATTGACCGGGAAAAATGCAACAGTGTAAATAAGAGTGGTGGTCCAATTTGGTTTTTGATAACGAACAATGAGCAATAATGTTGCCGCGAATGCAAGCATTGTTGTAGTCAATGCAACGAAGAGTAAGGAGAAGCCTATTGTCAGTTTTCGAGGGAGTTTGTGATGGAATTCTTCATAACTAAAAGGTGAAGTGAGGACGGATAAGCACATTACCACCGAGGTCAAGGAGCAGGCTAAAGCAACAACGTCCATGACTGTGAAAAACATGAAGAAATTGTTGTTAAGGAAAACTGGATAACCCTTCTCATTGAAGCCTCCAGGTACAGTGTAGGCAACTGCAAACACCACGGTGGCGACGAGAACAGCCACCGCAGAGCAAGACTGAGAAGTTTCTTTTACCCATTTCTGTGCTTCTTTGAGTAGTTTGTCGTGCTTCAGGTCGAACAGCTCTTTGCAATTGTAAAAATTCTTCTTTTCTTTATTATCATCTTTCTTCTCTTCCTTATTGTCATCTTTTGCAGTGTCTTTCTTCTCTTCCTTATTGTCATCTTTTGCAGTTACACGGAGCATGGCAAAATGGGTGGGCGCTAACTTCTCCACACTCTGCATATATGCACAAATATAAGATAAGATAGAGTACATTCCATGGAAGACTTAATTAATTAACTCATCATTAAATTTTTATGTATAGAATACTACCAATCCTTGTGTTGGTCTCCTAAACATCCAATAGACTTTTTTTTGGGTAAAAGGTAATTTACAAAGAATGAAAGAATGGGTCTCCAAACAGGAGACCTTTACAAAGTCTGGAAACTCGGACAGATCCAAGCAATCAAAATCAAATACAAGGGACGGATTTACACAGTCTACAAGAGTAATCAACCAAGCCTCCAAGAGGTCTAACGTCCAATAGACTTTTCATCTTCATTGTCTCTAATTTTTGCAACATCCGGACTTTATCTCTAAGTTTTGCTTTATTTAATTTTTGTTCAAATAGTTATTTTTGTCCTTAAGATACTTATAAAAGAGACCGGAAAATAAGATTCAATAAAAAGAAGGCATCATCCTCTATATTTTTCTAGATATAAACCCAAAAAAATTGCTAAACAAAGGGATACTTGAAGGGGTAAATATTTTTTTATATCAATGCACTTTAGTATTAAAAATGAAATAAATAAATAAGTCTTTTCATGCGTTAAATAATCAAATTTTTACCTTCGTCTAGTTTATCATACGCTCTTACAAAACACATGAACATTTCCTATGATAAAAAACTATAAAGATCATTTAATAGATTTATTAGAATAAGAATTTTGAATATAAACAACGGGTTTTTCTCAATCTTTGGGGTTTAATCAAATAATATTCCCCTGAGATTTCAGAAAAACCAGAAGTTCTCATACCGTTAGTAAACTGTCAGAGTATTGTTAGAATTTTTAACATGAGTTAATAAATATTTACAAACTACTTTTCTATTGTTTATTTTTATACCAATAACTTAACGGCAGAATGATTTTTGGTATTATTATAACCACAGAAGAATTTTAGTTATTTGATCATACCTAGGGCGATTTTTGTTATAAGCCTATAAACAATCGCATCATTCAATAAAAAAAAAAAAAAAATAAATAGTAGTAGTAAAGATTTGTAGAACGCTTACTTTGTACCACTTTAACTCTTCTTGTAGATAGTATGCAGGACCACGGTGAATATCTGCATTATCACTGGCCATGTCTCCAGCATAGTGTAAAATGGTATAGCCATATTTGTCGATCCCTCGGACTAACTTTTTCATTGGTATATTCATCTCTTTCACAAGATCGAAGATTTCCTTTTGATGGTGCATGATAGCGATATGTAACATATTCCGCTTCTTATCATCGATATACTAAGCCAACTGGGGCGTTTGTTTAAGTATCTCCTTGACAATCTCTAGTATTCCTCTTTCGGTAGCCAGAAATAACGCGATTGGTTTTGAAACTTCACTTTCTTCTGCCTGGATAGCGATTTTATTTCCTGGTGGTTGAAAAATATCAGAGTGTCTTTTTTTAGCAATCTGCACCCACGTAGCATCTTTATCTATTAGGGTCAGGGTGAGTTTAAAAGCAAGATTATGCTTTCTCTTATATTTCAAGATTCTTCTCAGTATTGGCAACCCTATTCTTCGTTTTGCATCAATCAGAGGACCTGTGAATTTTAGAAAATAAAGTATACATATCATTAGTCAACGAGATACCCTAAAGTTGGAACTATTGCTCTATTAATCACTCTTATAAAGCTCTGGATAGAAAGGTATCATTTTATTCGCATATTTCTTTATTAACAAATTAAGATGAAAAATATAAAGAGGATATATTAAATTCAAACAGTTATTATATATTTTAGTGTAAACGTGGAAATCGTACAGTACGTACAAAAGTAGAGGAGTCTTTTCCACATGCTCATTCGGTAGCCACTTCTGAAAGCAGAGGGCATAGTAGCGAGCAGTTCAAGACTGGTTATGCCATCTCCGTCCTCTAATGTTGCTAACGACTTATCCAGTTTCAGTAACATTAAAGCCGTTTCTGCAGCGAAATTAGAATAGAAAATAGCACATCAGACACCAGTTGAATACTTCAATTTAAAGCAAAAATAAACTAGCTAGAAGGCATGGGGAGAGATCAGAGAGAGACCAAAGTTCTCTCCTTGGATGGCAGCATGCAGAATGGAGGCCTTAGGCTCTTGTATACGCTGTTTCTTGGCATCATGTTTCTGCATAGTTACTCTGTGGCGGTGAATGTCGTCCAGCGCTGGACAACTTTCTCTTTCATCTGATGTTGAAGCTAAATACCTGACCCCTCTGTTTGCCCATATGCAGCAGCTTTAAACAGCGGGGTTTCGCCTTCTTCATTTCTATCCTTAAGGAGCTCCTTATCGTGTTGCATCAGGAGCCTTACCGCCTTAATGTTGCCATCGGCGGCAGCCTCATGAAGAGCTGTGTTTCCGTAGATATTCTTTTTCGAATATAAACGCTTTGTCCAAGGATCCCCTTTAGCAATGTCAAGGAGACTTTTAAGCGGTTCTTCACTTTTGCTGAACACTGCCAAGTGAAATAAAGTGTCATCGGCGGTTGTTTGAATAGATTTCAGAACAAAAGCCCCTTGTTTTTCGCAGAAATCCTTCAGTTTATCCCACTCTTCGTCCAGGGCTGCCCAATAAGGCGTCGCCATTTCTCCAATTCAATAATTTCCCTATGGAGGCAAGAAATGAATTAATGATTTCGCCATTTCATCCAACAAAAAATTTGCAAAATTTTTCTCTTATTAATTGTACATAATCATTTTATTGATTGTATCTCTTAATCTTTCAGGTTGGAAGTGATCCAGCTGGTTATACATATATAGGGTGCTATTATTTATTGGGTCCACCTACTGGAAGATGATCAATATAATTTTCTATTTTCATAGGTTATCGTTCAAAATGTTATTTATTAAAATTATTTTGTCTTTGATACAATAATACATATAAATATCAAGTAATGGTTGACTTAACAAAAAAATATTTGATTATATATATAAATAAAAAATTAACATTAGAGATGTAAAATAAACCCGGCCTACGCTGAGCCCAGGCATATGTTATACTCGGAAGGGCCGGAACCGGGCCTAGCTTTGATAAGCCCGGCCTAGGCTCAGATCTGTTATATAAAGTTTTGAAATTTACTGGTTTTAAGCCTTTAACCCTCTAAAAACTACGTAACACTTTTATAAATTAAAATTTCAAAAACCATTTTAAACATTTTTAATTTGATTTTGACTTGAAATCTCTAGTTTCGGAAAAACAAGCATGTCAATATCCAACCATTTTAAACAAAATCTTGAAAAGTAACGCAATGGGAAACTCTTATAAATTCAAAGTTTATGTAAACACAGAAAATATTACATATATCATCAAGAATTAGTAATCTTCTAACAATATTTTTAAATACATATACCTAAAAGTGTGGAAGTTTTCTGATCTCACTTGAGTCTAGTTATGGCTGAAGTTCTTCACGCGTTAGAGAGTGAGGAGAGAGGAGATCAAAAGACATACCACAAATAGCTATAGCCTGCTGGAAGATAGATGTTTGAGGAGAAAAACTTCAACCACACAAAAGAAATTATCTTAATGCATTGATTTTGAAGATACAGTCTGGAGCTATTTATAATCAAACCTTGGGTGGGAAATTGTCATCCACTCTACTATTTCTTTATCAATGAATCAAGCAAAGAACATAAACCACTTTAACTTTATGTTTAACTTTTTTATTTTTAATAAATTTTAGAGCACTCTACTTAACTAGGCAGAAATAATTTAGATTACTCATGCGTGAAACTTATAATCAAATTAACCAATAATCCACTCAATTTAAATATCCAATCCTTGAATAGTTATATTGTATAAATTGTATGATAAATAATAATTAAATTCATGTGAATTGAAATGATATGCAATTTTAACTTAACTAGGAAAACCTTTATGTGATTCTAAGTACTATCTCAACGTACTATATGTTAACTAGTTAAGCAAATAACATTTATTATTTGGCTTTATATATATATATATATATATATATATAACAGAATCTTTATGTAATTCCAAAAACTATCTCAAGTTCTGTATGTTAACTAATTAAGTAAAGAACGTTTATTCTTTGGCTTTTTGGACCACCTAGCCTGAGAATTGGCCCCTTGACTAGGTGAAGGCCCCGGTCGGATTTAAAAACATTGGCTATAACCAATTCATTTTTGTTTGTTGGTTTTCTTTATGCATTTTTTCCTATGTTTTTTAAGATGAATTCAAGAGCGAATTGGCTTAATATAGTAAATAAAATTAAAAAATAAAGCTGCCTCTTTTATTCACCCTAGAAAACAGCTGGGAAGGCCTGCAAAGAATTAATTAAGCAAGATATACACAATTCTAGTTCTTCTAAATAGATCTTAAGTGTCCATAAGAGAAGTTTGATCGCCACCATTGCTTTACTCATGGGTTTGTGTTCACCGTCCCATGGACATGGAGAACAAATTATAATGCCTTTAATTTCCACAGAAAATGTGACAGTTTAGCTTTATCTTTAATATATTCTTGCCAATGTAAATTAATTACTAATGATCTTTATCTTTATTATACTTTTTACCATAATGAGCTTTATCTTTATTATATTCTCAGTAGCAATGAGCTTTATCATTTATTCAAGTAAAGTAACGATACTTCTTCATTTGCAAGGATAAAACGAGCCCTTATAAAAGCTTATGGAATATCAGATAACACAACAATTGTTATATTCCTAAATCCGTGGAGTTAAAAGAAGCAACATAGAGAGAGATGGGAAAAGATTTAGAGATCAAGGGTGATGAAGTAGTTCCAGCTCGGGAATCCATTGCAAGAATGAAATAGCCTTATCAAACAGCCTCACTGAAGGACTGGGAAGGCTTCAAGGAATTCTACGAAACCAATCCTGACAGCTTGTTCCACAATTATTTATATTACTCACTCATAAAATTTATAATCAAATTAACCAATAATAAACAATTTAAATCTCCAATCCTTGATCATGTCACATGACACTACATGATGTATCACGTCAATTTGTACAAACTCTCTTTGTGTAAGAGTTTGTATAAATAGCTTTACCCATATGCAATTTTCACTTAAATATCAAAACCTTTATATGATTCTAAATACTATCTCAACGTATTATATGTTAACTAATTAAGCAAAATACATTACTATTTGGCACGTACTATATGTTAACTAATTAAGAAAAGAACATTTACTATATTTGGTTACAACAACTGATGTCATATCCTTTCTAATGACTATTGGTAATTATTGGTAGCCATCTCTTCAAGTAATCTGTAGGCATCTTCAAGACTTTTTCCCATTAAAGTTCATCCTTTCGCAACATCTATCATTGATCGAATCGTTGGTACCAAACAGTTATGAAAAGTTTGCACCACAAGCCCAGGAGTAGTCCATGATAAGGACACTTTCATAATATCCTTGTACCTCTCCCAAGCTTCGTACAATGATTCTAGCTCCATTTGAATAAAAGTTGTGATGTCATTTTGCATCTTCGTTGTTTTTGCTAAAGGAAAGAACTTGGCCAAAGAAATTTTGGGCTAGATTCTCCCATGTGTTGATTGGCCCTACTGCAAGCGAATTCAACAACCCTTTTGCCTTGTACCTTAATGAGAATAGAACAATTGCAATCTTATGGCATCATCTGTCACTCTACTGTGCTTGAAAGTATCACAAATCTCAAGAAAATTTGCCACCGATGTCTAAATCATTTGTATAGTGACTGGCTTTATTTCGAAGTTATTTGCCTGAAAATTCGGTCACCTTATGCTTGGAGTTGTACTGGTCACCAAAGGCAAAGCACAGTGTCTCAAAGCTCTTTGATCATTTGCTTCCTTAACTTTGATTGTCAATGGTTTGTTGTGTGCTTGTAGAGCCTTCTTTTGCTTTTCTCGACAGCCGACAAGTCTATTCAATCTCTGGGTCAAATGATAATAATTCTACGCTTTTCCAACGTCTCACAGACAACAGAGACTTCTAAAAAGTGGGAAAACTCGAGTAAATTAAAACTTAACAAAAAGAGAATTAATTTAGAACAAAAATACTAAAAAAAAAAAATTCAAAAACTCAAAACAAGAATAACAACAGCAAATAAACTTAAACAAAGATTAATTAAATAAAAAAAATTCAAATTAATGTAGAGTAGTTTTTTTACATTTTTGCTATTCTGAATCTAATAATCAAGTCAGACTATATGATAAATCTGCCTAATCTCAAAGCTCTCTTGAATTAAAATATTTTTTGTTATTTTTAATTAATTTTGATGCCTTCAAGTATATACGCAAGTTTTCCCCATATTTTTAGCAAAGGTAACCACTTAGCCAACACAGATTTTTGATGACTCAGATTTCACATGAAGTCCCCCACATGCAGTTCTATATATATATATATATATATATATACGCACCAATGGTTTAGCGAAATGTCAAGTTCCCCTTGATTTCATAAATTCTATATTCTCACACTTAAAGTAACACTAGTAGTGACTGGTGGATTCTGATACAGATGCAAAGGGTGCTATTATCAAACTGTCCTCTTATCTTCTTCTTCATCTCCCCCTTCTTCGCAAGTTCCCCTTAGTTTCATAAACTTTATATTCTCGCACTTAAAGTAGCATTGTTAGTGACTATTGGATTTTGACGTAGATGCAAAGGGTGCTATTATCAAGTTGTCCTCTTATCTTCTTCTTCTTCTCTTTCGCCGCTTCTCTCCCCCTCCCTCAACCACATCCTCCCATTTCTCTCTCTAACCAGCAGTCACACTCCTCTCTTCCTCCCTCGGGCACGCGATTGTGCACTGAAGTCATGTGAGAGAACTCCCCCCCCCCCCCCCCCCCCCCCCCCCTTCTCAAGCACATGATTGCGCGAGCATCAAATTGAGAGAACTCTCTTAATCCGATGTTGTGCCCTCGTCTTTTCTTTGTGTCGCTTACTGCTCACAGGATGCTCACCTAATTGGATCTCATTGAGACAATTGATTGCTTGATTTGAGTTGTGACCGTGAGGGGGAGTGTTGGAGTCCTACATCAACTAGGCATGTTCAAGCCTATTGGGTTATAAAAGGGGGTAATCCTCCCATTCAACAAGGCCTTATTGGGTGAGGAGTCAGACCCACCTCAAATTCTAACATGGTATTAGAGCCTATGTTCAATTGAGCTGAGCGCTTGACCAGCGGGTGAAGAGTTAGAGCCAGCAACTACCTCCAATAATAGGCATGACCAAACATATGGGCTTGACCATGAGGGGGAGTGTTGGAGTCCCACATCGACTAGGCACGCTCAAGTCTATTGGGTTATAAGAGAGGGCAATCCTCCCATTCAACAATACCTTATTAAATAAGGAGTTAAACCCACCTCAAATTCTAACAAGTTGTGTGCCTCTCGATTGAGACAATCGATTACTTGATTTGAGTTGTGTGTTGTTGGCATCTAGGCCGAAAAGGGTGGCAAATTTATTGGTCATGGCAGCCTCAACAATGCGAACGATGTTGAGGATTTTGTCATTGACAATGTCATGGAATTGAAGTGGAGTGGTTGAGCTTTGCTTTTTTAGGTGAAGGGATTTTGAAGAAGTGGTTGGATTTTTCAGAGGTTTAAAGTGAGGGAGAGGAG